CAGAGGAGCACACATGGGCTAATGCACACATGTGTGCACACCCCCACTGACCGCCCTTAGAGGAGCACACGTGGGCTCATGCACACATGTGTAGACACCTCCCCCCACTAACTGCCCTCAGAGGAGCACACATGGGCTCATGCACACACCCCGCCCCCCACTGACCGCCCTCAGAGGAGCACACATGGGGTGCTGAGTGCCCTATAGCCCTGTGGCTGCCCAGAGGTACAGTGGCTGATGATCATTTGGGCAGACAGAGGAGGGGCCCACACAGTGGCACTTAGTGAGATAAAAGACTCAAAAATACTCTCCCCCCATATGGACTCCCAGTATCTTACATTCTTCTGTCAAACTCAGGTTCTGCAGAGACTTGTTCAGGTTCCTGGCGGTGGTGACGGCACGGATGTTTCCATAGGAACTCACAGAACGCAGTCTGGGGGTGCATGGGCTGTCTCGCACTGGGGTCAAACTCCCACCCTCTGAGGAAGAAGGAGAGACATGAGCATTACCCACAGGTGCCAAGAGGGAAAGCCAGAGTCAGATAGTCAGCAGCCACAATAGCAGAGGCAGCCACCACCTGGACAGAGTGAGTGGCAGGAGTCCCAGAGCCCAGCTGGGCAGAGCTGAACATACAAAGTGTTCCTTGCTCTGTGGACAGTAAGGATAACTCTGAGCACACAGGAGCTCCTGGTGGTATGGGCCACAGGCACTGCCCTGATGGCCCTGGCAGAACAACAGCTGCCCACACACCCTTGGGCAAGGGTGGGATGCCCGTCTGGCTGGCTGTCCCACGCTGGCTACTTTTACGGGCAGGTTCACAAATTCACTGTCCACCTCCTTTTCCAGATGTGCTGACTGCAGCCATGCCTCATTTCTACCCTGAGCCCTCTGTACTTCACAGGTAGCTGTGTTTGGGGGTGACAGTCCACCGTGATGTGACACAGACTGCCTTCTCCAGCAGAAATCACAAACTTGAGAGAAGAGCTTCCTGACCAATGACAGGGATGTGACTGCGTTATTCGTCACAGGACGGGATTGCCTTGTGATCTTCTCTGTAAGCCCTTGCACAAAAGTGCTGTCAAGATCTCCCTGAGTCTGACTTCCAAAAAAGGGCAAAAGGAACATTAGTCAGGGCAACGAGGCCCCTTTCTGCCCTGGACGTCCTCCCTGACGCCCTGGAGGACAAGAGGGAGAGGTACCACTCGGGGCAGGTGTCCGAGAAGTCTGGGCTTAGACATGGGGAGAGGGTGGCCCCTGTCCTGATGAGGGGCTGCAGCTGCCACCAGGGGAGGGGTGGGAAGTGGGAGCAGGTTCTGATGTGGTGGGTACCTGTGGCCGCAGGCGAGGGCAGGGGGTAGTTCTTTTCCTCCTCCATGAACTGCAAGGCCACGGTGCAGAAATTGCTTTCATACTGGACAACCAGATGACTCAGGGCCACCACCAGCTCCTGCCAAAAGGAGGACAGTGACACTCAGTGAGGCTGGGACACCACCGAGGGGTTGCAGAGAAGTGCGGACCACATCGCATAGTCAGCAGGAGGAATGGAGCCAGCAGAGCAGGCCTCAGGGCACACGAGACCCTGCCCAGATGGCAGGGCCACCAGCTGGCCATGACAGACTCCAAGAGATGCCCTGGAGCACCGGCTAGAGCCCGCCAAAGCCTGCTAGATGTGAGCAGCGCAGCTCGGGGACTTCTGAGGACACAGCATGAGTCACACAGCTTCATGGTAGGGGAGGAGGCTTTCCAGACTTACGTCTGTGACTACTGCTGTGACCATGGGCAGGACCGGAGCCGAGACCTCACGGTAGGTCACGCTGAACCCTGAGCAACCTGAGGCAAGAGGCAGCATCAAGATGAAGAAGGGGAATCCCTCTAGAATTAAAACATCACCCTCAGATCCAAACACCTCAGGCCAAGGAAATGGACATGCCAACTTCTCTGTTAGGACAGTTCAGTGTACAGTGCAGTACACGGAAGCCTAAAAGTCAGCAGCACAAAAGTGGACGAGGTTTCTAACAATTCAAGTATAACTCATCACACAGTTCCTGAAACTACACTGCCAGCTAAGAGAGACTCCTGGGAGGAGGTGTGGCCCAGGAAGGAGCCCCGGGCAGCTGCGAGAAGCTCCACCCCAGACTGTGGTCTCCCCAGAGTCCAGACGGGCCAGGATGCTACCAGGATGGGCCCTTGCAGGGAAGACAAAGTCTGCACGTATTTTTGAAAAACAAGGATTTTCCTTCTTTACACTAATACAGAGTAAGAAAAGCTAGTGCTGGGCCAGTGTAAAGACACTGCAGTAATGGCTCTGGCTCCTAAAGAGAACAGCGCTGATGGGAATCAACTCTGGGTTGTAAATGTGCTTCTGCAGGATAGTCTGAGCTTGTGGAGACGTGTCCCCTCGGGGCCTCGTGTTGTGCAGATGGGGAAACCACATCAGTGGTCCTGGGGCTGCACACTTGCTGGTTTCCAAGTTTGGTCAAAGGTGTCATATGTCTTGGCTGGAGCAGAAAGGAGGTGGCCTCTGCCCAGATGCACCTGGTCACTTGTCCAAGGCTCTCGAGGCTGTGCAGGTCCACAGTCAGACCCTGGCTGCATCTAACCTGCTTGCCCAGAGCTGCCCCTCAGTGGGGAGCTGCTGGCTCTTCTACTGCTGCTCAGAACAGAGCCCTGGGGCCAACTGCCATCCTCATCCTGTGTCCCTCCCCTGCCCCCAGCCAGTCCTATGGGCACTTCCTCCCTCCTGTGCCACTGCTGGGCCTAGTGGGCAGCACCTTCCCTCCTGGCATCTTGTGTCAAAGTCCACATGGTCCCTGTTCCAGGCCTGTGCACCTGACATGCCCTCTGCCTGGCAAGCCTCCCTCCCCTGTACCCCTGGCTCCTGCTCACGCCACGTGGGCCTCTGCCCAGTCCCACCTGACCTGCACCCTCTGGCCCGGCTCCCTCTGCCACTTCAGCCTCATCCTGCTGCACTTTTCCCTGGCACAGGATACACTGGACACAGCATATGTCCCACTCCCTCCTCCCAGTTCAAGTGCAGTTTCTGGAGAAGAGCCGAGCTTAGTGTACGGCAGGGTCCCTGGGACCCCAACTCTCTGGGTACAAAGAAAACAAGGTCTGAAGAGGGAGAGAAGAGCCCTTCCCACCTTCCCAGAGATGGCCACACCTTGCCCCATGAGCAGAGAGAAGAGCCTTTCTCAGCCTTCCAGAGTCAGCTGTGTCTTGACTGGCAGCTGTTCTGACACCTCCCCTGCTCACAGCCTGCACCTCTGGGATGCAAGCACAGCATGTGGCCCTGCGTGCAGGCAACCACCACACCACTACGGTGCAGGCGCAGATGTGACACCGCCTGAGCACTCAGCATCCGGGATGCCGTCAAGAGCAAAGGGCCAGCGAGGGACTAAACCAGGCCGGAGACCCAGGGCCATGCTGAGGCCTTGGAATATTCCAATCCTGGGAATTCAGGGATGTTATAATCAACATCCTTTCTATTGTTAAATGGTTTTTGGAAAAGAAGAGAAAACATTCCTCTCCTTTGAAATCATGTTAACAATTAAACTGCTGATTTGCCCACTTGAGTCAGTGATGCTTAAAGCAATTTGATGTGGGAAAAGGATTTGGTGTGAGCTGAAGGATGGCAGATTCAGGAACAACACCGCCAGTGGGGACTGCAGGATACAAGGTTGGGACCAGGGAAAGGCTGTCTCCAGGGCCTCGCCTGGTATGTTCAAGGTTTTCTGAGAAAACCTGCCATGTGGTGACCTGGGTTGACTCTAGGAGGGATGCGAGATGGAGTGTGCCTTCCCACACTGAGTCTGGCTCCAAACTTTGAGCCTCCTGAGTAAGGCAGTGGTGTCCACACAGACAGGCACCCCCATACCACATTTCCTGCTCATCTAATGAAACATTCTCTGCTCCAAGAGCAGCCATGAGACAGCCATGAGGCAGAGCACCCCCCACATGCCCCTTTTTGGCTCGAATGGGGCGAGGGGGATTTAGGTTTGCTCAGAACTGACTTTCTTGGGGGTGTGAATCTTGGACAATAATCTGTGATGTTTCTACATCTAAACAGGACAAGTAAGTTCTCAAGTTCATAAGTGTCTTGTTTAGTTGCTGACAAACACGGGCGCGGGAGGGGACATGCCATGTGAACCTTCCACCGTCTGTGGTGGCTACTGCTCTTTTGAGTCATGGCAGTGTGTGTGTCTCCCAGGCAGGAAAGAGCCTGCTGCACAGGCTGCCAGGAGACACAGCCTGTTCTACGCCTTTAAATGAGGCAAACATACGAGTGGCTGGTAAAGAAACGCATCTTGGAGAGAATCAAATAAACAGTTAAGGATCTGCTCTCCAAAGGATGCAGGTGGCAGGAGTGAGCCCTCACTGCTGACGGCAGGATGGTGTGGCTCAGCCGCCTGGAGGCAGCAGGGTGCTGGGCTGGGCCCACCTACCTTCCGGACCACGGGGCTCCCGTCGTTGACCAGCTGGGCCAGCATCATGGCCACGTTGTGGTCGATGGTGGTGGAGTGGTCCGTCCTCTCAGCAGAGTTGCCCACAAACGTGCCAAGGGCGAAGACTGCTGCACAGCGGACCTGCAAGGAGGGGCGAGGAGTCAGACACCTGTGCTGGTCTGAGTGCGTGTGCCTGTGCGCACGTGCCACCAGCATCTCTACCTACAAGTTAATCTAGTTCAGCTCAGCCAGCTAGTTCAGCTTCACAGGAAGTCACTGGATATGCTCAGGTGCAGGCAGTGCATATGTAGATGGGGCAGCTGTGGGGAGAGGAGGCCAGAGCACGCTGGAAGGCACTGGCCTGCCCCACATGAGAGGCTGTGGACAGGCTGAGGCAGCGGGAACTGCATTTTTTCTGGAACTAAAAGGCCAAATCAGGAACCATGGAATATATTGATGAGATAGGAGCTCATGGAAGGGACTGGGACAGGCCATGGCACGTGGATGGGGAAGGGAGGAGAGGAAGGTTTGGGCACTGCTGGAGGCAGAGACAGCTCAGTGGAGACCAGAGTGACCTGAGCACACAAGGGAGTGGACTGGGCTGGCCCAGGGATGCTGGTGTAGTTCCTTTTTCTAGCAGGAAGGATGAGCAGCACAGCAGTGACCACTGGGGGATGATGGGGTGGGAAACCAGGAGGAGCATAGCGGTGACGGCCA